AACTGGGCCAAATTAAACATAATCCAAATGCATGGACCCATATAGCACGGTCAAGGCTTCATCCACCACACAAATGTAGAACATTCAACAAAGTGGTAGAGACAGGTATTTAATGCCTAAAAGCCTACCACCTGCAACATTTTCGTCGTTTTTTCTTCACTTTTAATCTTTTTTTTTTTTATTTATTTATCGGAGACAAATACTTGGATCGATTCTGATTTTGTTTAGCCGTTGTAGACATGCTTTTAATTTATACATGCCTTACATCATGAAAAACAAATTTCAGCCCAGCCGTTACTTCTTTGTTTGTCGAAAATTTCTTTGACTAAAATCGAATCAATCGCAATATTGTAGTTTTTTTTCTTGTTCTTAACCAAGAAAATCATATTATCAAATTGCACTGTCATTTGGAACTCAAAAGAAATATGTTGTGTCGAAATAGTTTTTTCGGTGACTGTGATTATGAGTGTGGAATGCAAATTGAAAATGTGTCTGATTTTTATTTTATTTATAAGCACCTACAGAAGTCTATTAACTAATTAGTGTAAATACCAACAAATCAAGAGCATGATTAGTTGAAAATATTTTGATAACTGGAAAAATATGAACTATATAATAGTGACGCATTTGATATGATTTTTGAAACTAAAATTTATGTTCCACCAACTAAAGATTTTATTTTTGAGTCAAAATTTATGTTTTCGTTTTTATTTATTAATTAGACATGTGCTTCTATCATATAAAAATTATTATTTTTTCTTAAGTTATTTTTCATTCAAAATCAATTGTGATTTAAGTTGTATCTTAACCATGCAACGTTTATATTAGTAACATAAATAAAATAATTTATATATTTGTAGCATATATTAAAAAAATTAACATAAATAAAAAAAATTATTAGTGTTTCTGATTTTTAGAAAAAAAAAAATATATGTGTCAATCATGCACAAATGTACATATAATATTATAAGTAATATTTGAGAATTTAATATTAAAATTTTAGATAATGAATATATTACATTTTCAAAAATTTGATCATTAGAAAAAAAATAACGATTTTATTATTATTAACAATTGTATATTACCATTCGATACTAACTGTTTAATTATTATTATTCTTATTATTATTATTATTAAAATAATTGTTTATAAGATTCTAAAGTTGTTTGACTATGCTATTAAAATAATTTACTAATTGTTTTTAAAGAAATTTTTTCATGAGATACAAAGAAAAAGATAATATTGATGTTAAAATAAATAACTTAAAACAATTGTTCTTAATTATGTAATTTATATTTATTGTTAATTATTATTAGTTGGTATTAACAATAACTATTATATAATATATTAGAAAAATACATGATTGTACTCATTATGATGTATTAATGTGAGAAATAAAAAATATTAATGATAATTTTTGTAACCGAAAATGGAGGGAAAATGTTAGAGGTTTTAATGTTTTATTAAATATGTAAAATTAAATGCTATATGCTAGCAATTATATATATATAGATACATCAAATAAATCAATAATAAATAAAAAAAAAAATTAATAATAAATGATTAACAATGCTGAAACAAGCACAAACAAATTAATTACACGCGCACACTCACAAACACCAATGCATATGCAAAGAATAGAAGTCACAGAGGTTTAGATCCTCGAGCGCTTGCACTCAATAGAAGCTCCTTGAGGAAACCTCTGATTATCGGCACAATAGTTGTAGACCATGTGCCTCTGCTGAACCCATCTCAGTCTCTTTCTTCCATTAACATCTAGCTCCTGAGCTTGAAATTGTGGACCGCTTTGGATCTTGAAATTTCTGTAATAGGCCACAAAAGGAGCGTTTGTCCAGTCGGTCTTCACCCGGCCGCCTTGAGTGGCCCACTCATCTGCATTCCACAAACTGCAGTACACTCTCATCGGCTTGCTGTTGGGGAACGGTACCCCACTCGGTTCATGGTTGTTGAATACTCTAATGGGACTGTTGTCCACCAAGAAACTGAATATTTTGCGATATAAATACATTTTGGTTAGCTAGAAACTACTAGAAAGTTCATCTAAAGAAATTGTCCAGAACTCATTATTAATTACTTACATTATGCGCTGAGCACTCCAGACGATCGAGTATGTGTGAAATGCGGCAGTAGGATCGAACCAAAGGTGAAACTGTTGTTCCTTGTCTCCTTTGCCCTTCGAGTACACGTTCGTGTGCACTGTATAAGGCTCACCGCTCGAGTTGCCCAAAAACTCAAAGTCTATCTCGTCATGTCCTTCCCCTTGAGACGACAACTGCACAACAAAGGCAAACAATGAGATGCTATGAATAAATAACAATGGTAATAATAAATAACCAATTAAAATAATTGGTGAAGACTTACGAAGAACGTGGTTACAGTGCCAGCAGAGTTCCCGGGTACAAGTTTGAGCTGAATGTCAAATCTTCCGAACAAAAACTCGTTCTTTGATTGAAATCCGGAACCCGAGTTTTGGTCGAGCGACAGAGATAGTCCCCGCCCGCCTTCGAGTATCTTGGCACGCCCATCACCCCATGATATGTCCACGTCTCTGTAGAAGTTTCCGGAGGATGGCACGGTTAAACAAGCCAAGACCATGAAAATCGAGATCATTGCGAATTTAGAAAGGAAAGCAGCAGCCATTTGTATGTTTTGATATTGTGTTCGATTGTGAATTGTGATTATGTTTGCTTGGGGGTTCCATACATATATATATATATATGTAGGCTAATGCCCATGGCTCCATGCAGAGAAGCTTCATCAGTGAGTTGGCCGGCCAAGAGATTGATGATTAAAATTTTAAAATAATTAAAACGCGTGAGTTACTGGGTCAGGCATGATTCAACTTTGTTTGGCGCCAGGCTGTAGTGAAAAAAGTTATACTCATTTTAAGACCACCTTAGACCAGTGGGCATAATATTATTATTATATGTTTGTTGGTGTTGTATATAGTAATTGAGATGGGGCAATATGGTATGGGGGATCATACAGTGGGCTGCCATAATGTGCATAATTCTTTTGCTCTTCTTTTTTCTTTTTTACAATTTTTAAGGAATTACTACATTCATATCATAATTCATCCATCATTTTATTGGGCTAATTAACTAATGTATATGGATAATTACTAGAAATGCTCTTGGGGATTGGCTGCAAAATTTTTCTTTTCACAATTTACTGTATAACTATGTACCCAAATCAACACCAATAATGAAATACTAACCCTAAATTGTCATAAAGTATCCCATAATTATTTTCACATTAGCGAAAATTGCATTTTTTGTTAAAATATATTTGGCTGTAAAATATTTAGTCGATCTCCTAGAAAATTCTTTGTGTATTGTCTATATGAATTTCGTCTTGTATTGGCGTACATCATTATTATTTATTTCAAATTGATTCTCGTGCTCGATGCATTGCACTTTACAGTATATCATGTATTTTCGTCCATTTTAGTGAACTTGTTGAGCTATGATTGATGTTTTACGTTGAGTTGGTTTTCACTACCATAAAACAGTTGGACCTTGATATATAGGTCTATCTGTTTGTGACACTGCAAGAAAAATATTAATTGAGCTCCCGGTGTCGATGAACACATGCACGCTACACGTCATAACTGGCGATCTCGGTCGTGATAACGAAGGCATCATTGTGCGGGGTAGAAATGCCCTTCACATCTTTCGAACCAAACTTCAGCACGACCTGAGACTGCTCGACCTGCACCTTGGTGACATCATTCCCTCTATGATAGCTTCTCTTCCTGTCATTATGAGAATCCCCATTAGTGGGACCTGCAATCATCTGGATCTCACCCCGCTTGAGTGGTCTTCCATCTAGATCCTCAAGTCGCATCCTCTTCTCCGTCCCCTCACGATCCTCGTTTTCATTATCCTTCAGTATGAAATCTTTGAGATATTTGGCTCGGATCAGCAGCTCGATTTCATACTTTAACCCGTGACAATTGTTGGTAGAGTGACCATAATCCCTATGGTATCTACAGTATCGGTCGTTGCGAGAGGGAATGTATCCTCGGGTTTTGGGTATAGGGGGTAGGTCAATAATATATATGACCGCGCGTCGCAACGCGGCAAAATTAATATTTATATTTTCCTCGACTAACCTCTACTAATTAGTAGTAGTGGCGAGCAAGGGTCGAACCCACAGGGAGTGTGAATCA